TGGGCAACTTGGCGAGACCTCATCTCTACAATAAATCAAAAAATTAGCCGGGCGTGGTTGTGCGCGCCTATAGTTTTGGCTGCTTGGAAGGCTGAGCGGAAGGATCACCGGAGCCCAAGCAGGTCGAGGCTGCAGTGGCCAGGAGTGTGCCACTGCACTCCAGTCCAGGCGACAGAGTGAGACTCCAACTCAAGAAAAAAAAAACACATAATTTAAAATCTCTTAGTTTCTAGGACAGTTAAAGTTTGACAACCGCTGTCTAAAGAAATGTAAACACACTGGGTATGGTGGCTCTTGCCTGTAATCCTAGCACTTTGGGAGGCTGAAGAGAGAGGACTGCTTGAGCCCAGGAGTTCAAGACCAGCCTGAACCACATAACGAGACCTCAGCTCTATAAAAAACATAAAAATTAGCTGAGTGTGGTGGCATGCACTTGTAGTCCCACCTGAGGGAGGTTGAGGAGGTAGGTCAGCTTGAGCCCAGGAGTTTGAGGCTGTGGTGAGCCATGATTGTGCCACTGCACTCCAGCTTGGGCAACAGAGTAAGACTCTGACTCAAAAAAAAAAAAAAAAAAGAAGAAATGTAAACAAGGATAATGAAAAGCTAGCCACTAGGCCTTCAGCACTTCAGCACTTGGCACAGAAACAAGGGAGGGACACCTAGACACCTGACATGAGAATTCCTGGGGCGATGTCAGCCTTCCTGTGTGGGCCTCAGGTACAGAGGCCGCAGGGCATTCGTACACCACCCAATGAAGATGAACAAGACTAATGAGCTAACATCACCCAGAAGGCTGCCCTGCCCACCTGTTCCTCAACCATAAATCCCTATCTCACCCCACCCTCAACCCAGATAATAAATAAGATCTGCCTTCCCTCCACCCCCCTTAACTTCCCACTGTTCTCCACGACAATTCCCCAATTCCACCTTCACCAGTGGTTCTCACAGCAGGCCAGCTCGGACTCCCAAAACCCTGTCTACAAAAAATCGGGGCGGGGGACTCACAGACCAGGTGGAGAGAGAGCAGCAAATACTCAGTGTGTGGTCATTTTTCTTCAAAATGAAAACAACGTTCAGCTGCTCTTTTCTAAATGTTTAAGATTTTCAATCTTGGTTTGGATAAATGTATGTCTTTTCTCGGCCCTAGGCGCGGTATCGAAAACCTTTAATCAAAGGGTGGAACTTACAAGTCAACGGGCTCAAATTCCCCCACCTTGCACTCTACGCAAGCCCCAGGGTCCACGCTCCGGAGGGACCAAAGTGGATTCGCTGACCGTGTGGAGGGGTGGGTGGCCGCCCGTTTCCATCCCCCCCCCCCTTCCCGCAGGTGTGAGGCCAACCTCCTTTAAGGCGGCGCTTCGGGGCCCCCCAGGGCTCGGATCTGTCGGGTGAGGCTGTCCTTCCTCGCCCGCC